GCTTTTAATATAATCAACTCACATCTTTTAGCAATTTTAAGTTTATAAGCAGCTAAGTAAATTACAGTTAAGTAAATTAAAAAATATAAATTTTAATAGTGCTAGCACATCTATTTCTGTTCCAAAATACCCATAAGTTATATTGAAATAGAGGATTGAAACATTTCATTATTTTTAACCTACTACTATTCAAGTACTAACATTTAAAAATACAACACTAGATACCAGCACTGTGGCATATCAGGCAAAGCTGCTGCCTGAGTTGCCAGTATCCCATATTGGCACCAGTTCAGGTCCTTGCTGCTCCACTTCTGATCCAGCTCCCTGCTAACATGCCTGAGAAAGCAGCAGAAGACAGCCCAGGTACTTGGGCCCCTGTACCCAGGTGGGAGACACAGAAGAAGCTCCTGGCTCCTGGCTTTGGATTGGCCCAGCTCTAGCCACTACAACCATTTGGGGAATGAACCAGTGGATGGAAGATCGACTGATCTCTCTCTCTTTCTCTCTCTGCCTTTCAAATAAATTAATAAAATCTTTAAATACAATACTAAAAAGGCTTTGTTTTGTGTATCTGAGTACAATAGTAGAGAACTAGGAAAAAGGAGGCATGATAAAAGATAATGGAATACAAAGTTTTAGGATAGTTGGTTTGGAACATTGAAGTCCAATTAAGTAAGAAATAAAAAGAAGTCAATAGCCTTGACAATTTCAGCAATGCCAAAACAGTAATGGAAGAGGAGGCCACAATATACTCATGACAGTGAATGGAGATAAGTAAGTGTGATATATGAAGTTGTTATTTTAGGAGTTATAGAAACAAATGGAAGAAATTATTTAATGGCACGATCCAGTGGAATTTTGCTTCTGAATACTTAAGATTTAAGTATCTTTGTAGGCAAAGAATGGGTCAGCTGGAATAAGCAAAGTTTACAAGAAGACAGGACCAGAGAGTAAGTAGAAGGATTAGCTTTGGAAGAAAGAACAGTCACCTCCTATTCAGAGAAAGCTGGCAAACTAGAATGAAAGAAAACTTTGACAATTTATAGGTTCTTCTTTAACATGTTACTGCTATTTTATATCCTCCCTCCCTCTTGCCACCCCAAACCAACCAAGACCACAAGACCTCTAATATATGAAATGTCAGAATCAACTGGATCATAATACCAATATTCCTATATTACTGTGAATGCCTCCATTTTGAAAATATGACAAATTAGCACAAAGAATACTGCTTCTTACTTCTCCTAGGTTAAATTTAAGGCTGGCTATTCTGCCTAAATATTGGATCATGTCTCTAGGAAGCAGAATACAAATAATGGTATAATAAAAATTCAGGGGAGGATATTTGGCTTAGCTCTTAAGATACTGCTTGGAATGCCCACATCTCAAATTCTTTAGTTTCAAACTCCAGGTCTGCCCCCAATTCCAGCTTCCCACCAAGACACCCTCTGGAGGGCAGTAGTTGGTGGCTCAAGTAGTTGGGTCACTGGCAACAAACAGGAAACCTGGGCTGAATTTAGGGCTCCCAACTTCAACCTGACCCAGCCCACGCCATAGCAGGTATCTGAGGAGCAACCCAGCAGATTGGCACTTTCAATCTCTGTCCACCTGCCTCTCAAACAAATAATTAAATTTAAAAAGAAAAAGTCAGATAATATTTAACTATTTCCACACAAATAATGTAGTCAAGGTTAAAAACAATGAAAATCTTTGTTGTATAATAATTTGGGCTTTATACTGTTTCTAACAGAAAGATTCAAAAACTATTGGAATTTTTTTATTGATAGGAATATCATTGTTATACCAACAAGTGGTTCATGGTGAGTCCCTACTTAGTTTCAGGATGGGGGCTTGTCACCATAAAGACTAACAAACCATGTGATTAGAGGGTTGAGACTTACAGCTAGGCCCATTTCCAGGGAGGGAAGAGAGGTTGGACACTGAACCCAATAATATGGTCAATGATTTAAATCAATTAAGTCTATCTAACACTAAATAAAAATTTGACACCAAAGCAGGAAGAGCTTCCTAGTTGGTGGACACACTAATGTTCAGGAAGGTTGACTGCCTTATTCCCTGAGGAGAGGACACGCTCTCCATCTCAAGCCAGGCCTTCTCTTATGTGTTTCTTCATTTGACTGATCCCTCTGATCTGTATCCCTGACAACAAAACTGTAATCATACTAACAAGTACTTCTTCGAGTTCTGTGAGTTGTTGTAGTGAATTACCAAACCTGAGGGGAATGTGGGAACATCCACATTTATAGCCAATCAGTCAAAAGTATATGTGGACTGGGACATCTGAAAGGCAGCTTGCATAAGATGCAAGGGCAACCTTATACAGAACCGATCCTTTAACTGTGAAGTATGATGCTAACTTTGAGCTACCATCAGAACTGCACACTCAATAGAGTCTTTAAGCCAAAAGAGCAGCAAGTGTTAAATATTGTTACGAAAAAACAGTCTTGGACATTTCATTCATTAAAGTGAGCTGTCTATACCATGATTTAAGAAATTCTCTCGGGGCTGGCACTGTGACGTAGCAAGTAAAGCTGCCGCATGCAGTGCTGAAATCCCACATGGGTACCAGTTCTAGTCCCAGCTGCTCCACTTCTGGTCCAGCTCTCTGCTATGGCCTGGGAAAGCAGTGGAAGATGGCCCAAGTCCTTGGGCTCCTGCATCCACATGGAAGACCCAGAAGAAACTCCTGGTTCCTGGCTTCGGATCGGTGCAGCTTTGGCCACCGCGGCCAACTGGGGAGTGAACCAGCTGATGGAAGACCTCTCCCTCTCCCTCTCCCTGCCTCTCTGTATAACTGTTTCAAATAAATAAATAAATCTTTTTTAAAAAAAGAAATTCTCTCATAAAATATTCATGGTTCTCATTCTTCGATCAAGGAAATAAATTCTTGAATAAGGACAAAAGTCTACACAACTCTTAAGGTTAAGAAAACAGTAAGCCCTTACGTATTCTGTTCATATCTATTCCTATGTTTTAAAAGTGAATTTACCAGCAAGTGACCTGCTCCTACATGTGAATTATGATTTTTCCATCAAATGGTAAGATAGTAATATTTCCCACTGAGACTGGGGAGGATATACCAATTTCTATCTCCTATTCTATTAACTATCATTTACTATGCCTTACTTAATATAGCTATTATTGATTCAAAGATCTTTGATGTCTTACTAAACATTTCATTTCTGTTTATTCAAAATATTGCATTTAATATTTTTGTCACAGAAATAATACTGTAAGTATTTGCTTGTCAAATTTATCCTAGAACAAAAACAAAATAAACATTTAGGAAAGAAAACTGATAAAGGAAATACTAAAAAAAAATGACTTGGTAATTATTTCTTTGGAAGTTTGATCTAATTGGGGAAATGAAATATATACATAAAATGAGTTAAGCAAAATATTTTTTAAGTTCAAATAAGGGTATAGGCTGAGAACATAGGGCCAATTAAACAATATGAAATCAATAAGAGGTGTTAAACATATAGTTTTCTGTTCAATACAAAGGCTTGTAATGGTCACTGAGATAGGATATAGTTTAATTTGTGATCAGTAAAACCAATATTTCATGTACAGTAATTTTCTAGTGTGGATTTCTAAGATGTACAATTTGTTACATCTAATGTTTAAGGAAAGTTGTTTTGGTATTTAAATTTAAACAAATTTCTTTGAAAAATTCTAAGAACAAGGTGTTACCTTTACCCACAGCTTTGTAGTAACTAGTTTCTACATATCACCTCAGCTCATTTCTGACATTTTTATATGCTTTAACATGCTGCTGATATCAGAATAAATTAGAAAATTTCTAGAAGCTAAGCTAGAATGGAAGCAGTTTTGAAATGTCAAGTTCCAAAAGGCCTAGGCACTTGAGAGAATGGATTATAAAATGTTGCAAAATGAAGAATCATGAAGAAACTAGCTGACAGTATAGAAACATGAGAAATATTCAGAAAACAAAAGTAAACAAAAAATAACAAGTCTATTCAAATGTATAATATGGAATCACAGAAATATATCAATTTTTTAAAAAGGAATTTGGTCTTAAACAATGTTAAACCTAATTTAAGAATTCTCATAATAATGCCTCTAAAACATCAACAATTTCATGAATCTCAAAAATGTGTTTTTTACAGGAAATATTCATTACATAAATGAATAAGATAAAGTCCCTGGTAAGTGATACACAAATGAGGGAAAGCTGATAACTTTAAAATGTTGATAATTTTAAAATGATTCTAAAGGTGAGTTAAAAAATATTTTCATACTTGTTCATACTGCATTACATGTAAGTCTCAGGAAGAGACTCTTTTTGTTAATTAAGTGAATAGATGACTAGAAAGATAATCAATACAGAACTTAAAAGAAGCAGAAATTCTTCTTGTTCAAACCAGACACAATATCCTACCACAGAAATCAATCTAGATGCCTACTGTCCAACAACCTGGATCAAAATAAATAATATTAAAGCAACTGAAAGTCATTGAATTTAAGTAAGAATGTAGAAGAAACAATATATATCCAACTTAAAGAAAAAAAGTGATACTGTTCTTAAACATACACATATCATAATTTAACAGGAATTTATCAATGTTAAGACTGCACATACAAATATTCTATGAGGCAGTTTCCGGTATCTGGCAAAGAGTATGCCATGTTCATTTTTTCACATTATTATAAACCCAAAATAAGGAATTTTGAATGTTTATTTTAAAGGACAAGTTTGATAATATCACAAATCCCAAAATTTTAAACAAAGCAAAGAGAGATACTTCTTATCCTTGGAAGAAAAGTCAATTAAGATAACAGAAAATGTTTCCTTTCTGTTACTTAGTGTGGTAATACATAAGCCAGCAATCAGCTAAGGTTCTTACCATAAGGTTAACTGTTAGGTAATTTTCTTGGGGGGGATTTCTTTCTCTTTGGGTAACTACAGTAAGGCTTATCGTTTGTATACAAAGAAATATCCACATTCATTTACTAACCTGGCCCAGTCCAGGCATACCTCCTCCAAGTCTAAGAAGTCTGTCCATATTTCTAGAAAACAGAAACAAAGGAAAACGTTCCTAAGCACAAAAGTGTTTACTCAATTGCTATCTATATAATTCACCTTCAGTCACTCAGTATGTCAAAAATATTGGTGGTAATTACAACACAACATCAGACTTCCTGTTAATTAACACCACATATTAATTCAAGAAGCTGTCTTCCATGCTAATTAACAGACCTTATTTTACCGCTTTGGTTTTGGGTTATCCCCAGTTTTAAAGACAAGCAATCTTAGCATACTTTCAAAACTTTGCTATCATTAAGTTAATTATATTTTCTTGTTGTTATCTAATAAAATACCTGAATGAGGAAAAAAGTGCCTGAAATACTTATCATATGTATGATTGAATTTCCTTCAATTTGTCCAGAGTGTACAAATAAAAATCTTCACTTTTAAATTAAATTTTAACATCCTCATTAGTAAGTTCTGTGCTAATTAACTTACAGCTTGTCAGTTATCATCAAAACTACATGTGAAAGACATTGTGAGCAGATTATGGATCTCTGAATTAGCATCAAAGGCTTTTTAAAAATGAACTCATTATACTAAAAGAAATACTATAGAGTAAACATGTAAGTGCACTAAGAGTGTTCTAGAACCTATAGAGATACTTTGTATTATTTCAGATGCTGTGGAAATATATACCTTTCTCAGAAGAGAAATGAAACTTCTATTTTCAAACTATAATTTCAGAGTTAATCAATAAAGAAGATTAACTTTAAAATGTCAATCTGATTTATTTTTAATGTTTGGAATAACTCAGAAGACATTCTTGTAAGCTTGAAAAGTTCACAGAAGAAATGAAGAAATGGCAAATGTATTTAAATGGCTTCAAATACACAAAAGTAGTCCAATTGTTAAAATTAATAGCAGTGTAAGTACTTAAAAATTAAAATTTTTTCTCTATTTGAAAATTGCTACTATGCCTTAAAAATCCCCTTCTTCCTAAACTTTGCTTTTGAAAATGAAGTATTACTACAAATTACATGAGAGGTTTACCAACAAATTCATGGAAAATGTGTATGTATGGATTCAAAAAATTGAGCACACCTTTTAATTCAATGGTTCCATGAACTACTGACGTATCCTCATACTCTAATTTAATGCTAACCAATTAATTTAATAATTTATTGTGTTATTTTACTAGTCAGAACATTATCGGCGTCTTAGAAATGCCTCAAGTCCCCTTCCAGTCTCTACCACCCTTTCAAAGATGGAATTCCAACTCTAACAGTACAGATCACTGCTATTGTTTTTGAATTTGACATGAAAGCAATCAGATACTTCTTGCTTCTGGCTTGTTTTACTCAACATGTTTTTAAGATTTACAACAGATAAATTCACTTTTAAAATGTAAAAGCATATTTAAAAAGAAACTTGACAGACCAATTTTCTGTTTACAAATTTTACTTATCCTCCTAAAAGCAATATTTACAAATAAAATCTCCATCAAATTCCCACTAAAATTCGACTCAACTCTGGCATTCAATACACAGCACTTTTTGAAGGTCAGAAAAAAAAAGCATAAAAAGAACAACAAAATATTGTATATTTAAAAATACTGAGGACAGTTCTCTTCAATATATTACCAAGTATATTTTAAAACATTGAGAATATTTCTCTACAATATTACCAAAAAAAGAAAACATTTTCTTTTGAAGTTAACAAACAACCAGTGGGGGAGAAAAATAAGCAGTATACTCTAAATTATCAGAGCACATATCCATACACACATATCTGTATGCACTCTCACACACACAAGTTCCAGGCCAAAGTCAATTCCCAGCTGTGTTCAGTTTATCTAGTCTCCCTGTGTTGTTTCTGATGACTTTACATAGGCTCCAGATGCTGTGAATATACAAGAGCAATGTGGGGAGCAGAGGGAAAGAAAATCTGGCAGGTCAAATTTGTGTTTTTAGCAAAATTAGATGTCTCAGCAAACAGGAAAAAAATATTTAACAAATTAAAACATTTAAGATAAGATAATCAGGTTTCATAAAAATACTAACATTTGGAAATTAAATATATTAATAAATATTCTAAATCCACTAGTTTAAAAAATCTGGCTATCACACATATTCATAATTTGGTAGCTGTTAAAAATAATACATTTTCATAATATTTCTCTATCAGATCTTGAAAGAAAAGGTAAAAGTGAAATATATTCTTAAACCTCACCTGGTCAATAACTACAATTCTCAGGCGTTAAGCTTCAATTTATTGAGACTGACAAATTTCTTCTTAACTCAAGATCCTGCTAATTCAAGCACATAGAAGAATTTTCCCCTTGTGGTTTATTTTTCTTTCTCTCCTAAAAAAAAAGTATACAAGAAAATTATTTTGAAAATTAAACAGAAAAATTTTATATCAAAATCTTTTAAAAGGAGCAAAACTCCTGAAGATCTTATAGAAATTCAAATTAATTTTTAATCATTTTCTGAGAATATGTAATGATCTACCATGCAGAGTGCTACAAGAGCATAGTAATTAACTTAATATCCAAATTTTGCTGGTATTTTTCATCTTTGGACATTAATGTTGATGATTGAAATTTTATGATTTCTAGTCTTCTTTCAAAAAAAAGAATTTACTTATATTTTTAAATAGAATTACATTCCAATGTGCAATTATTGTATTGCTTCATTATACAACAAATCTATGACATATTATGGAACCTTAGTTATTTTTCTTGTATTTTAAAAGTTCGCTATTCATCAGCCTAAGAAATTACTTCATCATTTCTTAATCAATTATTCCCAACTATGCCAAAAAAAGAAAACAAGAAAGCAGAACGATAGGAATTGTTAATGCAGTAGTAACTTCTAGCAATTACATTATCCTTCAGTTCTCGTCTTGCCAAACCATTGACTCATCTTTCATTAACAACAAAAAAAACTGACATCAGTGTTGTAGTCCTAATTTTTTAGCTTTCACTGAAAGTTGAAAATTTACAATTTTTCACTTTGTATCCATAACAGCAAAAAGGAGGAAAACTGACAGGAAAAAAAAATTCACAGCTATTAGAAATCACAGAGTAAATGCAATGAAAAAGAAAAAAAAAAAGGCATTCTAGTCTCTAATAATGACAATAAAATTACTTATACAAGCAGGGTTTACTAACTGTGGTACTGCTGACATTCAGATTTTTGTTGGGGCGGGGGTGGGGGGGCTCTAGTGCATTAGAGGATGTTTAACAGCATCCCTGGCCACTATGAGCTAGAAGCAAGTAGTACCCACCCAGTCACCCTCATTAAAAAAAAAAAAAAAAAAAAAAACGGTCTTCAAGGGGCCAGCATCCCATATTAGCACCAGTTCAAATCCAGTTCCCTGCTATTGCGCCCAGGAAAGCAACAGAGGATGACCCAGGTGCTTGGGCCCCTGCCACCCAGGTGGAAGACCTGGAAGGAGTTGCAGCCATTTGGGGAATCAATGACAGGATGGAAGATATCTCTCTCTCTCTCTCAATCTCCTTCCCCACCGGCTAGCATTCAAATAAATCTTTAAAAAAAGAAAAAAGTCTCTAAGCATTGGCAAATGACCCCTGGAAGGGCAGAAATACTCTCAACTGAGAATCACTGATAATAAAATAAAATGTCAGACTCATGCACTTTTTTTATGATTTTTAAAAATTTTTATTTAATAAATATAAATTACCAAAGTACAATTTTTGGATTATAGCAGCTTTTTCCCCCCATAACCTCCCTCCCACCCACAACTATCCCATCTCCCACTCCCTCTCCCACCCCATTCACATCAAGATTCATTTTCAATTATCTTTATATAACAGAAGATCAATTTAGTATATACTAAGTAAAGATTTCAACAGTTTGCACCCATACAGAAACACAAAGTATAAAGTACTGTTTGAGTACTAGTTATTGTGGGGAGCAACTCGGACTAGACTAAGTTACTGGAATTAAGACTTATTCTATGCATCTGCTCTCCCACAATATGGCGCTGGGAGAGAAGAAAACAGCTTCTACACAGCTGCCTCCAGTTCAGCCAATAAACTGTAGGACTTGCTCCTGATTGGAGGAGAGCAGCGTACTCGGCGTGTGGGCAGCCGAGTTGGGATTGGCAGAGGAGGACTATAAAGGAGGAGAGAGACAGCATGCACCAGGAACATCTAAGAGGAACATCTAAGGGGAACATCTAAGGGGAACATCTAAGGGGAACATCTAAGGGGAACACCTGTGCAGCCCCCGAGAGAGCCGGCCGGTGGTGTGCCGCTCCCCTGCAGAAGTGGGGAAAGTGGCCAGGGGGAACCGCCCTTCCACGGAGGTGGAAGGGACAGTAGCCAACCCGGGAAGAACCAGCAGCAAACCCGGGGAGGGCCGAGCAGACGAAAGAACAGCGCAGGGTCCTGTGTCGTTCCTCCACGAAGAGGGGGAGCGACATAATGGTGCCGTGACTCGGATATGAAGCCTAGGCAGGGTTTAGTGTTGCTCCTCCACGAAGAGGGGGAGCGACATAATGGTGCCGTGACTCGGATATGAAGCCTAGGCAGGGTTTAGTGTTGCTCCTCCACGAAGAGGGGGAGCGACATAATGGTGCCGTGACTCGGATATGAAGCCTAGGCAGGGTTTAGTGTTGCTCCTCCACGAAGAGGGGGAGCGACATAATGGTGCCATGACTCGGATAGGAAACCTAGGACGGATAGGAAACTTAGGAGGGAAGAAACGGGAAGAAATGGGAAAATTTCGGAGAGAGACTAGCAAACAGCCTAGGGAAAAGCCGGACGAAAAAGGTGCCGGAAAAAGCTATTGAAAGCCTAGGCATAGACTCGGATACGGACTACGGGGGGAAGCTGGGCGAAATCTCTAAGGTCGAAAGCGAAAGTGAAAGCTAGAACAAACAGACTTGGATACGGACTGTGGGGAGAAGCCAGGAGAAATGAGGGAGGAGTATTGTTGGAGGAAAGCTTGGGGAAACATACCGGGTAGAGAAAAATGTTAGGGAAATTGAAGCCGTGGGGGGCAGGCCGAGGCGGAGACGAAAGACACTTTGGGATTCTCAAGTTAGCCCAGGAATGGGGGGCGAAGAGTTGAAACCAGAAGCGGAAACGTGAGCTGGGTTGAATTCGCCAGGTTAGCCCGGGGAACTTAGATTGAATGCTAGTGGCGGAGACGTAAGCTACGCTGTGTGACTCGCGGAAGCCGCCGTGTGCAGAGAGAGCACGGGGCACAAGTAGATAGGGAACGCTGGGCTAGTGCGAGACCGCGGAGTGTGTGCGCGAAGCCGAGCCGCACAGATAAGAGAAGCGGGCTGCAGCGGATCAGCCGGGAAGCCGCCGAGAAGCAGCCTCGGGGCGGGCGCCGGGAAGCCGCAGGGATAAGAGAAACAGAAGTTTAGAAGTAAAATGAGAGAAATAGGAATGCTGGTAGATAGAAGTAAAATAGGAGAAATAGGAATGCCCGGAGATAGAGAAACAGAAAAATAAGGCCTCCCAACAACACAGCAATGAGAGAGCTTGGATTCGGTCTGCCTGATTAGTGAGGCGATGAGCACCTGCGGGCGGCTAGCAGCTTATGCGCCGCAGGTCACCGAAGACAGGCACGTTATCAACACCAATAAGTCACCCCACAACATGGCAATGAGAGAGCTTGGATTCGGTCTGCCTGATTAGGGCGGTAAGCACCAGCAGGCGGCTCGACCAGAGTATGAGCTGCAGGTCACCGAAGATAGGCACGAATCAACACCAATAGGCCTCCCCACAATATGGCAATGAGAAGGCTTGGATTCGGTCTGCCTGATTAGTAAGGTGGTAAGCACCAGCAGGCAGCTCGAACAGAGCATGCGCTGCAGGGCACCGAACACAGGCACGCATCAGCGCCTAAAAACCTCCTCACAACATGGCGAAGAGAGGACCCGGATTCGGTTTGCCTGATTGATAGGACTTGTAAGAACCTGTGGCAACTCTAGCAAGTAGAGCAGAGTGTGTGCCGCGGGACACCGAAGACAGGCGCGTATCAACGCCAAAAAATAAAAAGAAAGGGGGATCTGTGGGGAGCAACTCGGACTAGACTAAGTTACTGGAATTAAGACTTATTCTATGCATCTGCTCTCCCACAATATGGCGCTGGGAGAGAAGAAAACAGCTTCTACACAGCTGCCTCCAGTTCAGCCAATAAACTGTAGGACTTGCTCCTGATTGGAGGAGAGCAGCGTACTCGGCGTGTAGGCAGCCAAGTTGGGATTGGCAGAGGAGGACTATAAAGGAGGAGAGAGACGGCATGCACCAGGAACATCTAAGAGGAACATCTAAGGGGAACATCTAAGGGGAACATCTAAGGGGAACACCTGTGCAGCCCCCGAGAGAGCCGGCCGGTGGTGTGCCGCTCCCCTGCAGAAGTGGGGAAAGTGGCCAGGGGGAACCGCCCTTCCACGGAGGTGGAAGGGACAGTAGCCAACCCGGGAAGAACCAGCAGCAAACCCGGGGAGGGCCGAGCAGACGAAAGAACAGCGCAGGGTCCTGTGTCGTTCCTCCACGAAGAGGGGGAGTGACATAATGGTGCCGTGACTCGGATATGAAGCCTAGACAGGGTTTAGTGTTGCTCCTCCACGAAGAGGGGGAGCGACATAATGGTGCCGTGACTCGGATATGAAGCCTAGGCAGGGTTTTGTGTCGTTCCTCCATGAAGAGGGGGAGCGACATAATGGTGCCGTGACTCGGATATGAAGCCTAGGCAGGGTTTAGTGTTGCTCCTCCACGAAGAGGGGGAGCGACAAGTTATATCGTTAATTCACATAGTACAACACATTAAGGACAGAGATCCTACATGGGGAGTAAGTGCACAGTGACTCCTGTTGTTGATTTAACAATTGACACTCTTATTTATGATGTCAGTAATCACCTGAGGTTCTTGTCATGAGCTGCCAAGGCTATGGAAGCCTCTTGAGTTTGTCAACTCCGATCTTATTTAGACAAGGCCATAGTCAAAGTGGAAGTTCTCTCCTCCCTTCAGAAAAAAGTACTTCCTTCTTTGATGGCCCATACTTTCCGCTGGGATCTCACTCACAGAGATCTTTCATTTTTTTTTTTTTTTTTTTTTTTTTTTTGCCACAGTGTCTTGGCTTTCCATGCCTGAAACAGACTCATGTATCTTGAGATGACAATATCCTAGACTAACTTTCTCAAATTTATGAACCAATGACTGCTGGGGAGTTTGGCAGGTCCTTAAAAAGTTAAATATAGGAGCAACTGTTTGGCTTTGTGCTTAATAAGGGAGTGCCTGCGGGCAGGCACTATAGTACAGTTGGTTCAGCTGCCGCTTAGGACACCTATATCCCAGGTTCTAGTCCCACTTCTGG